GAAGAATCCTGATGCTCTAGCTTCACTGTGCACATGCTGGCAGGCAGCAGCTCGCCTTCACGCAGAGGATTGGCAGGTTGAGGCTGATCTGTCTGTGGAGTTCATCAGGGAAGCTGGAGCCCTGGGCAGGAAGGCCGTGCGAGCAAGCCACCTTCCGCAGTAAGGCGGCTTCCTGGAGCCTTTAGAAATCCTCGTGAGCACTTAGTGATAACGTCAGGACGTAGGGGGTGACGTTACGTGTTTTGCCCCCCTTTGTCAAACCAAGGTGCCCTCTTTGTGCTTTTCTGTTTTATAACCCTTGTGGTGGGGCTCTGCCAACCACAGGGTCAATAGCTTTTTTTCTCTAGGGGAGAGCTGAAACAGTTTTACTTACCCGATCTTCCGCTCCTCTGGCAGGTGGTGCTCCCCCACAATCTGGCAGTGGAACATCCCTTGGAGTCCAATGAAGGGCCATGCACCCTGTGCTGGTCTTCATGGTGATAGGACCCTAGAGTGCAGAAGTCGCTGAGACTAGTCTAGCTGTGGTGAGGAGTGAACAATCGGGTAAGTAAATCTTTCTTTCTTTTACCCCTAAATATTAACGAGCAATTAAATGCGGGCACAGCCCCACTGCAATATATAATATAAATAATATATTAATCTTTTTATTTGCCCTGAGTTGGGCTTTAGAGTTCAAGAAAACCCCAACAATGATCTCCCATCTGGTCTGTTAATTATACCATTAAGGAAGAAAAAAAAAAATTACAGTCATGGTCAAAAATGTTGGCACCCTTGCATTTCTGTCAGATCGTGCAATTGCTGCAATTTAAAAAAGGTGAGACATTCTCATGTTTATTTCTTTAGTTTTTATTGGAATGACACAAAAAAAGTGGAGAAACAAAAAGCCACTTTCCACCCAAAACTCCAAAAATGGACTGGACAAAATTATTGGCACCCTTAACTGAATATTTGGTAGTACACCCCCTGGAAAAAAATAACTGAAATTAAAATCGCTTCCTGTAACCATCAATGAGTTTCTTACATCTCTCTAGGACTGGACTGGAAGGCTAGTAACGGCAGGATTAAGAAGAGAAAATAAAGCATAAAAGAAGAAAACTAAAACAGTCACCAAATCTAAGGTCTTGTAAGCTGTAATATTTTAATATTCTACAATACTACTAAATTATATTTAATATAAATTAAATATATATTATAAACACTTTCAAAGGAAATAGCCAGTAAGCCCACTAGAGTTGCTAAATAACTAAACTTTGGGGTGGACTGACCCTTTAAAGCTGAGATCCAGTATGAGCAAACATTGTCTCAATACAAGAGTCGTGTGTATTCTTACATTAATCTTAGTGTGCTTCATGTATTTCTTCCAGGTCTGTGCTGGAGCTTCCTATAATAAAGACCAGTCACTGCAGCTCTCTCTCCTTGTGCAGGGTGACTGGTCTTGTCTCCGCCCCCTCCTGTATTTTTCTGCAGGCAGTCTGTAGTGCATGGGTCTGCTGGGTCCCTCCCACAGCTCTGCTCTCTGCACAGGCTATGTACAGTACAGTGTTGATGCCACTGCCACGTTTACAAGGTAATATCTGGGTTTACAAAGGCACAACATAAGATTTATCTCTTTTGGGGCTCCGGGGGAATATAATTGGATGAAATATTTTCTGCCTGGAGTTCAGCTTTAAGGTTCCACAAATATGTTGTTTGCTTAACACGTTGAGAGACACGTAAACACAGGGCCTATGCCACCCGGGTTTTTTTGCTAATAACATATCCTCCATAACTACCTCTTCATAGTTCATTTTCCTTACATCAGCCTGACAGATCCGTTTTGTCAGCAGTGTTTTTCGGATTGCAGTACGGCCACTGCACACAAATTATATGACAAACTTTCCGCCTGTGACCCTGTAATGGTAGAAACGCATTTCTCAGCTAACAAGGGAATACAGAATACAATTTGTGTTAACGGTGTAATGTGGGAGAAGGAAAAAAAAAAAAAAAAAAAAAAAGAATTTTGACATATATATATATATATATATATATATATATATATATATGTGTGTGTGTGTGCGTGTGGGGGGGGGCTTTCATTAAACCCGTTATATGCTTGTAGAGCAAGATCTGCTGCATTGGGTTTCAGGGTGTTACAATTACGATGACTGCATATAATGCGCTTTGTGTTTCGCAGGGGAATGTCTTTTTTTCTGCTTCGAAAGCAAAATTTAAATGTTTGCTGAGATGACTAAATAAAGCACACATTTCTGAGAAAAGCATCCTTAAAAAATAGAAATTTGGTAAAAATGGACCTCCTATAGAAACATATGGAGGGAGTGCATTCCAAGTCCACCCAACGAAGGTCATACAGCACTCACCAAGTCACATTCGGGATTAATACGGCAGCTCCTACAAATCCCTGTCCGCCTGCCTTGTATTATTTCATCTATTCTATTATTTTACTTTTCACTTCACATATAAATATTCTGCTTTCACAAGTATGCCGCGATTTGCGGAAAGCGACCTAGGCCCAGTAACGGCATTAATAAGAACACGTGTCGCACTGTGTGAGCTGCAGGTTGTTATTTTCTTGAGTGGTGAAATAGACGAGACCTTTGCTACAGCTGGGCCAGTGCAGCTTTTCACATCTCTAGATGTACCTGTAAATCAAAAGGTTTCCAAACCCCAGATCACAGCACGGGAGAAACCCCCCCCCCCCCAAAAAAAAAAATGCCATGTCTTCAGTTTTAAAGAGTAACTCCACTTTTGTTGAGAAAGAAACACTCCCCTCTGGGTGATCTATGTACATTGCAGGGATTTTACCAAACTTTGTTACAGCACCTTACCTTTTGTTATTTTAAAGAAATAACTGTCTGTGTTCATATGGAAAGTGAATCTAATAGGAGTGAGTTTATAATCAATCAGCTGATGCACTTGCAGTGTTCTAATGAAGATAGTGGCAGAGTCTGCATCCCTTTAGATGTGATTTCCCTTTGGAAAATTACATTTCTGTTGCAGGGGATGCCCAAAATCTGTCCTGTATCTTAGTGCAGACATCTGGTAAAGTAAGCCAATCACACAAGCAGGAAATGACATCTGGGGGGTATTCTGTACACCATTTGTGTACAAAATGCTTCCATATTTCCATATTGTATTGCATTTTACAGACAATTACACTGGCTGCAGACTGAAAACGTTTTTTTTCAAAACATTCAATTACAATATGACTTGTGTAGCAATTGCATATGCGGAAAAAAAATGTAACTGCTACTTTTTTTCCCCCACGAAAGTGGTGTTATCCTTTGAAGAGGGGAGCTTGCATGCATGCGCATACACCCCTGAAGTCAAGCTTGAGCTGCTTTATTGCCGGAGTGCCAATAGATATCTCTTTCAGCTTCTCTGCAGGACTGTTTACTGTTTTTTGCTCAGGGTTTCTAATGTCTTCTTTTAGGCCCCCTTTGTATCTCTCAATGCACAATGGGTGTGCAGCCCCAATGCATGGGGTTCCGGAGTTTAGCTATGAACAGAGGACACGGGTGCACCCCCTAGCAACCTGTCAAAATCTATGAGAGTCTAATAATTGTTGCGGTGGGACAGACCTGGGTGGTGCACCTAGAAATTTAGAGCAATATGCGTCCAGGGACAAATGTACAGAATACAAGAAGCCTGTGTTCTGGGCATTCATCCCTGGGCACTTACTACCCTAAACGGAAGTACCATTGAGTGCACCACCCAGCCTTGTCCAGCTGCAGCACCAAGCCTTAGGCCCCTTCCACACGGGGTGGGCTCCACTAGTTTGCATGCTCAGCGGGGGGATCTGATGATCACCACTGAGCAGGCAGATGACTGGTCTCTGCTCTGATTATGTAGAGAGGAACCAGACACAGCACGCTTTCCACTATGGGCAGTCGGATGTAAACGGACCACCTGTCCATTTACACCCGACTGAAATCTGATCTGATAGATGAAAGGGGGGAGTGGATCGGATTGGATGTAGGCGAGTGTAAACAGACCCCATCCATCTGTTTTTAGTGGATCGGATTGGATGTAGGCGAGTGTAAACAGACACATATCTGTTTACATCCACCACTCCATAGAGAATGGAGGGTCTGTTTTTAGTGGATCGGATTGGATGTAGGCGAGTGTAAACAGACACATATCTGTTTACATCCACCACTCCATAGAGAATGGAGGGTCTGGTCTGCTTGTCCGTTTTTTAGGCAGACCTGATCAGATTGTCTGCCCGTCCGTTTTTTAGGCAGACCTGATCAGATTGTCTGCCCGTATGAAAGGGGCCTTAGACACAGTCTACTCCCACTGATGCTGGGGCATTCACTTCTCCCAGTATGGCCCCCTGAAGGAGAGTAGACTGACCCTTTGTTTAGAAAGTCTGGAGACCCCTGATGTAGACTACCACTTACCAAATCTGGAAAGCAGTCCCATCATGGTACAAGTTGCTGCAGTGATGTGCTCTGTTCAAAGCTAGGATAACTTCTACAACCAATGTAATGGCAGCCTTTAGGTGGACCTTTTTTTAATAATTTTGGAGTAGCAAGCGATAGGGGAGGGGGGTGGGGGGGGGGGGGGGGGGGAGGAGGGCGAGGAGGGGTGGGGGGGGGGGGAGGGGCAGAGGGGGTAGTTTTTTATTGCTATCTGTGCCCCATTACGGAGATTCACCCTCTCTATTTGTCCTGTTTACCATTATACTTGAACATGAAAGTAAAGAAAATCCCAAATTGTGGGTTGTTCCCAGAAAATCAATAGAGAGGAAATTTTCCAATGGGGACACTAGTTCTGGTGACTTGGGCGTTCCCAAGGAATTCTCTTAATTTTAAGTGATTTCCTTTCACTTTCTGATTTGGCTATGGGACAAGAAGTGAAGGGAAATCTCCCTAATGGGACACAGATGTCAAAAAACAAACTGACAGGGGTAATAACCCTCCCTTATTCTAGCCAAAATGGAAAAATAAAAACGTTTTGCCTATAGTCCTACTTTAACCACTTCCCGTCCGGCCCATGTATATAAATGGCCTCCCTGCCACCTGCTCGTGCGCACTCCCTAGGAGCACGCAGCACCGCGATCCGGTGCCCGCTGTGTCCTCCGAACACAATGGAACACCGATCGTTGTACGGGACCTCTGTGTGAGGACCCGATCACATGAAGAGTAGTAAGCAAGATGTCACTTCTGACATCATTGCTTACTATGTGTAAAAGCTTTGAATGAACACAGAGATCACATGGTACAAGGCTATTCACAACAGCCTTGTACCATGTGACAAGCTGTGACCAATCATAGCTTACACAGTATTTCTCAATGGCTGCAAGAATGCAGCCAGAGAGAAGGAGAAAGGATTGCTTTTACAGCCTTTATGGGTGTAAAAGCAATCAGTGTAAAAAAAAAAATGTTTTCATAACCCCCCCACAAGTAGTACAGTGTCACTATGGTGACACTGTACTGATAGTGTGACAGTATGAAAAAAAAAATACTAATATAAAAAAAATGTAGAAAAATTATAATTTTTGGTTATAAACTAATTTGGGCTATTTTATTTTACTAAAAAGATAACTGAATACATTTTGGCCAAGATTTATGAAGAAAGATTATTTGCAAAATGTTAAGAAAAAACTTTTTTAAAAAATTTTTTGGACTATTTTTCATTTATATAGAAAAAAAAAATCCCAGTGGTGAATAAATACCACCAAAATAAAGTTTTATCTGTCTCAAAAACTCAAAAATGCTAAAAAATTCATATGGGTACAGTGTTGCATGACTGCGCAATTGTCATTCAAAGAGTGATAGCGCTGAAAGCTGGCCTGGACAGGAAGGGGGGGAAAGCGTCCGGACTTGAAGTGGTTAAGTAGTAAAAGTTACAAGAAATATTCCAACAGCATTTTCTCTAGCATATAGAATGGCACCTCCACTATGCGGGGGGATAGGTACCCCAAACATTTACTATTGCCGCCCAGTTTAGTACCTATCGCCTACATTGCTGCATCCACCTTGTCAGGAGATGTATAAAAATCTACAGTAAATTAACCAATTAATTTGCAAATATATTCTAATATATTCCAGGCAGGTTCTAGTGCTGTTAAATGAACTGACAGGGAAACCATATGCAACGTAAAAGGAGAGGACTTCATTAACGGCGAACGTTCTTCCAATGTGGGATAAAAATGGTGTTTGCTGTACGTTCACCCAGCAGCCATTGCGGCTAATGAGAAAATGTGTTTGCACTTCCATCACTTTAATTTGTTTTTTCATGTTTTGGGTAAAACAAGGATAAATAACGTCAATTCCCACAGCATGCTTTCCTAAACAGATCTTATATAAGACACATCCAAAGCAAGCGAATTGTATGTTTAACAGGAATTTTGCGTGTTTTAGTGTAAATTTATTTTATGCTGTTAGCCTGAGGCTAGACTACAGAAAAATGGCTTACGCCACAGTTGAAAAAAGATATATATGAACTGGTTTACATTCTAAAGAATTTGTAACCCTGTGCAGTCATTCCTGTGATCCAGACACCCCACCAGGCAGTGCCGCCAATTCCTGGACCATACTGCTAACCTCTCTTGAAAATGAAAAGTGAGCTCAATAGTTAGACCCCTGCCCTCCCCCTCTAAGCCTACTGCATTAAACACACAGAACCCCACACAAGTACTAGGAGAAAAGTATACGTGTGGTTTCAGCTCATGGTGCCTAGGTGAAGGTAACGTCACTAGGCCATCTGGAGAGATCCTAGGATCTCCGAGGATCCCAAACCTGCAAAACGACCCTCATGCACATTGTTGGTTTTTTTGGGAGTTTGAGAACTTCTGTGTTCTCAGGAGCCTGATGAAAGATGTCACCTCTTCCTAGACACTCTAGACCAGGGGTGTCCAACCTTTGACCTTCCAGGGCCTCATTGGAAGAAAAGGAATTGTCCGAGGCCGCACATAAACAGGACAACTCCTTCCCTAGGTGATAGCATTAGGCTAGGTTCACACTGCAGAATTGCAGATGTCCCCGCACCCATAACCACCCACAGCCAAAACGCGTTGCTCTGTAGCGACATATTCACTCCTTATGGCACCCTCATGTATCTAAACTCTTTTGCGTTTGCGTGAACCACAGGAAAATCGCATGGTGTGATTTTCCTGCGGCTGCATTTTGAAAAATAGTGCAGGCACCTTTCTGGGGGGGGGAATGCAGACACAGCAGTCCATTAAAATGAATGGGCTGCTCTGCTTGCATGAATGCTGGCCACAAACCCGCTACAGTGTGAACCTAGCCTTAGTCAATGATCACTGCATATATTGACAAGCACAACAGAAAGGAGTCCATATAGAGCCCATAATCAAACGCTTGCAATTCGAGCTGATATAGAGGTTGGATGAGTGGTCTCAGCTGGAACCCCGCACCAACCTGGAGATCTGTGTGGACCAACCTGGTAGCTGACGACTCCAATCAATATTGAATAGTAGGCTTTAAACACACAAATTATCCATGTACACATAAACGGTTTACCTGGTGAGGGGGTCCCAGATGGAAAACAGCAATTCTACTCCTGGCCACAGAGATGGGAAATAAGGATGCAAATAGGAACCACTGAAGGATGCATATCCGAAGGGGAGCCATGCTGCATCCAACAGTACATGCCAGGAGCTGCGGCGGCTGTATTTCCATGGCATCCCTCCAGATATGCCAAGGCCGCATGCTAAACTCTGTTGAGCCGCGGGTTGGAAACCCCCTGCTATAGACAGATGCTGGAAAGTAAGCCAAGCCCATTTTTTAGGTTTCCTCCTAATTTGTGTTTTTTTTTCATGCATCTTTTTTCACATAAGGGTTGATGAGTCTAGTAATTCCATTCTGATGCAAGATGCCTGATCCAGGATCCACCCCAACCTATGGACAGGATAATTAATGAGCAGAAAGACACCGATGAGATCATTAAATCTGCTCTCCTTCATCTGAAAACACATTTACAAACAGCAATAAGCAAAGCAAAGCAAAAGGACTGCGATTGGCTCAGAGAACTCCCTATCTGAATGATGCTGCGTAATGCCCCGTACACACGATAAGAAAATCGTACGAATTTTCACAGAACCACTGATCGAACGATTTTCTCTTTGTTGATGTTTTACCAATAACGATATTGTGAACAAAAAAATCGGTTGAACAACAGTGAAAAATTTTGTTGTTTCGCATACGAACAACCGATTTTCTATGTGGTGATATGACGGTCGTACGAAAAAAAATCTATCAAGTGCTATCACGCATCAGCGCAAACAGAAGATGACCTGGATATTTATGTCCAAGGAATCTTCATAAACGCAAACGAAAAATCCAAATGTTAAAAGTAGATTGGCCGAATGAGATAATGAAATCAGAATTCTGCATATTATATTTTATGTATCACTATTTATGTATATAGATAATGTAATAAACTATAATATACTCATTGCTGGTAATCGTTGTGTATATCACTCGTTCTGGCCGGAAGGGCGTGGCTACAAGGTCACATGCACACCGCATCACTTCCACTTGTATGGAAGACGTCAACACTACGTATTGCCCGACGAACAATTTATTTTAGATTGGTTAATGTGGGCCACGATTTCGACCAACAAAACGAATGCCTCTTGGTCGTCGGATGACCGATCGGCTGATTTTCGAATCGTGTATTCCCACCTTTAGGGATTACAGGAAGAGGATACCAGGTAGGTACGTATGCTAGTATCGAAGTCTATGTAAAGAAAACATTTCAAGGTTTTTTTTTTTTTTCTTAATGCTGCATTAAATTGTATTTTTAGGTTTAGTTTTGGAGTTCAGATGTGACTTCTAAGTAAAAAAAAAAAATAAATAAATAAAAAATATATATACACACACATATATATATATTGTGACAGTTTGGCAATCTGTCACCCAGGATTCTCAACAAGGCAGGTTGAGGGGCTCCAGGGTAAGTGTTTGATACGGAGGAAAGTGGCTTTTCACGTTCCTCCTTTGTTTGTAAGGTCCACTTTGGACCTGGCCTGGAGATTTCGAAGCGATTTGGGAGGGATGAAATCTCCAATCCTGGGACCAGGTGTTGGAATAGGCCAGGAGACTGATTGCACAGGTGTGTGCAGGCCTTTAGATAGAGTCAGGACCAGGGTTCTGGGCCCCACCCCGGCAGATAGGAGTCAGGAGGGCTATAGAGTCAGGACCAGGGTTCTGGGCCCCACCCCGGCAGATAGGAGTCAGGAGGGCTCCACCCCGGCAGATAGGAGTCAGGAGGGCTCCACCAAGGAGAGACGTGGAAGCCAATAGCAGCAAGGGGCTGCTAGAGACTAGCTGTGTGCGAGAGCCATGTTTTGAAAGAGTCTGCAGGAGACAGACATCAAGCTGAGTGTAAGCCAGGAAGCTGAATCGTTGTTTTGTTTGATGGTGGATACCCCTGCGTGGGAACTTTATGTTATGGGACATTTGTTTAAATAAAATTGGGCAAAAAGGCCCTTAAAGAAGCGAGTCGCTGTGTGCTTTAAGTGAAAAGCTCTACCACTTTGAAGCGAGTTCCCACAATATTATATATATATATATATATATATATATATATATATATGTGTGTGACTTCTAAGTAATTGAATCCAAGACAGGGATTCATGAAAAGCACATCATGTTCCATCCACCAAATGGTTGATATATGTAATGGTACTACTGTGATTATAAGACAAAGGTTTTGACAGGGGCTTCCCCATAAAGTTTTGGATGGAGTTCCACTTTAAATTAAAACAAACATACTGCCTCCTAAAATCCTACAGGTTGATCCACTAGGAAAACCCCTAAAATGCGCAGCAGCAGCTTCTGCCATCCACTCACACAGCAGATTATTCCATTCATTGGGAAAATTAGAACGCAGAGATTTCTTTTTTTTTCCCGGAATGGATTTGCAGAATGTAAAACATCCATTACAGAGCATAAAAAAAGAACATGTTGTAAGGTCGAGTGCTTTGGTTTTCCTGTTGCTGCAAAATACAAGGCGAGGGTTACTGTGTTCTGATTATGAGCTAGATGAGTTTTTCCACACCAGATAGGAGGTTACAAAACATACCCTACTGGGCCAGCCGACAGACTGGAGCTGGAGGGAAAAAAAAAGCTCCCATATAATTTAGC